CTGTGTACTTGTACCAAATTTCATGCTTGTATCATAAAATGCACAATTCAACTGCTAAGCGGCTGCACTAATACTATTTTGCCAGAAGTAGTATCAAGAAAACTAGACACAGGACACAAACATGATCGAAAACTTTTCTGTATATGTAGAGGACCAGAATTTGGTAATATGATAACATGCAAAAATCAGTCATGTGAAATAGGAAGATATCATTACAGCTGTGTAAATATAAAAAGAGCCCCACGCAATGGATGGGTTTGTCAAAACTGTGCATGAATTTACAATAAAAAATGGAAAAACTGATATCTTCATTGTGCTCATTAATCATGATTATGCTCAAGTTAATTGTGAAGGTTTTTAAGTTTCAAATTTTTAACTGATTTTGATTGATCAAATCATGTAAGCATCTTATAAAATGCGTAACCTGGATAAAATCACTGTCAAGTAAGAAGTGTATCTTAGTTAAGTTTCCCTTAGTCTAATTTAAATGAAAGTTTAAATCTAATTTTATTGGTTTTTAATTTGGAGGGTAAAACTTCCTACTGATTGCATCCCTAATAAAGAAACTGTGAGTTAATCCTTGCTGAAATTTTCTAAATCATATCTCGGAAAAAACATGTTTTGACATTACTTAATACATCCTGACAACACTTTTATTTAAATTTACTATTGCTGCTACAACTACCATAACGTCATTTAATAGGTCCACCTGGGATATAGGAATGGTACTCTGTAGGATTCTGAATTTCTTCAACTGCCCAATTACTCGCTCAACGTGAATCCTGAGATTTGACAACTGGCGGCATGTCTGAACATCGGTTGCTGGTAGCTGTTTTTTTCCTTTTGTGAATTTTGGAATTTTTAGGTATGCTCCTTTTTTATGCAAATCATCTTCTATCAAGAACCCTCTGTCAGCCAAAATGCAGTCACCACTGTGAACTTTATTTAAAAATCCACTGTCTAGGGTTATTTGTTTGTCAGAAACTCTCCCCCCCCCATCTTTCAGAAAGAAATGTGACTGCACCAGCAGGACTGATCCCAATGAGGTATTTGATTGTATTGTTGTTTTTGTAATTTGACCAAGTCTGGGCTCTAGCAGTCAGATTCTTTGGCCTTTCAATAAATACCTCACTGCAGTCAATAATGCAAATGCAGTCACGATATTTCCTTCTAAAGGAATGGGGTAAATTCTGCATGATTTCCATTTTGCTTGGCCACACAATCAACTTCTTGAGGCATTTTGATAATCCTGGCAGCCAAACACGATAAATTTTTGAAATAACAGTTTCTTCATGTCCAAATCTGTATGCTAGGTCCTTGTTAAGCAAACCCAACCTCAACTTCATTAAAACTATCAAAAGGTGATCCTCTACCGGCAAATTTGCACTACATTTTTTGATTTTTCCTTTAATAACGTCCAGAATCCAAAGAAAAAGAAAAAGAAAGTGCTGGGATACCTGTATAAAAATTAAGTTTTTCCTTTGATCCCTTGAGAGACTCAAATGAAAATTTTCTCATTTTAAGCTTTCTGTTTTCCTCTCTTAGTTTACAAAGCTCAGCATTCTTGGCCCTCAACTCCTTATCTAGCAAAGATATTTTATCTTTAAGGACTGTGATCTCTTTGTTGGTGTCAGTGGGATCAAACTGGGTATAAGCATCACACATCCTGCTCTCTCCTCCATCATCACTGCTTGAAGAATGTGTGGCCTCTGTGTTGGTTTTATTTGTGACCATCCATTGAGCCTGTGCACCTACTCTCTTTTTCCTTAGCACCTCATACCTGGCTTTCTTTTCAATTTTATTTTCTACTCTAGCAATCTCTTTGGCAGTAGAATGCTGGAAAATTGCTGGAATCCAGTTTGCATCATCAGGGTTGTCACTCCTTTTCCCTGAAAGTCCAAAAAGTAAGATTTATGCCATTTGAGAAAAGGTTTAAAAAATACCAAACATATGTTTGTTAACTATTGGTATTGTCACTGCAGTGCCAGTAGAAGTTCTTCCTTCCATAACTAGAATCACTTCCAAATGACTTTGTATTATTTATTGATCTTTATGTATGAAAATATGAAGAACAAATGGACTGTTTGTTCTCACAACAACGAAGCAGCTACTTTACAGAATTTATGCAAAAAAAGATGATCGAAAACGCCAAAAATTCAGAAACTCACCTGAAATAAAATGCTCCGCACAGATAAACGCTTTCGAAATCTTTTCATCACTCCAAGTCCTCCAGTCATCCCTCCTAATCGCTCTCAACCAATCTTGTCGCCGTCGTTTTTCGATCGGTGTTCGCCCTTTTGGAATGCGATAAAAGGTTAAATTGTTCTTTTCACCCTCTTGACGGTTAGCACATCCCACAGCACAGCAACTTCTAACCATTTTTGAATAAAACTTTATAGAACACAAAACGAAATCAGATCAACTGCGATAAGTAACGATGGTTTCCTTTCCTCAAACAAACAACATCAGATGTTTTGCCTCACAGCATGCGCGCGCATGTTTTGCCTCGCTTTCAAATGTAAACATTAGCAAGGGGTCTATATAGCCAGGCCAATGTTTCCTGTGAGTAGCGAAAGTCATTTAGAAAGATGACATCTGCATTCTCTGTGCCAAGCCATGCATAGCTGGTACTGGCAGATTTAGTAAATACCCTGAACATATCATTTAGGGGGTCGAGCATGAATGTTTTTCCACAGTTGGTGGAATCATTATATTATGATGTTTACTGGACATTTTGTCAATAGCTCCCTAACAGCATCCGCAAAACTGAAGGCATTTAGCCTGTTGTTACAATGTCCTTGGCACAGTTTAGCCACAAACCACCATACAGATGGGCACAATGTTTCAAAAAGCTTCCCTCACAATGGCTATTCGTGACATTGTATTAAGTGAAATAGTAGCTGATGCATTTTGCATTTTCCACACACTCTTGACCAGCTTGTTTCTGCATTTCGCAGGTTTTCCTAAAGGCCGATTTACATGATCATATTCTGGTCCCATTTGCATTAAATATTTTATGTGATCACAGAATGTGATGGTGTAAACGACCTTACAAGTTGCTTGAAGTTGTACGAAGCAGCAAGAATTAATCCTTTTTAATTGCCCGTTCACAGATTTTTCATCTGACCAGCGATCAAATGGGAATGTCTGTGATGCAATTATTTCAAAGACACCGACAAGTCTTTGCTCTCCTGGGTAGATCGGGAACTGTTTTCCCCCAGTTATTCTGCAATCATAAAACCCAACATTGACATCAAGGGGAAGGGGATATGGGCTACCAGCGCATGTTATATGATAATAAGACATGTGACTTCAATTTTTTGAAAAAAAAGTCTCAGCTATTGGATTAACCCTTAAGACACAGAGGCACAGTTATTAAACCCCTAAGATATACTATCACAAATCATGTAACATGTTGAAGTTTGATCTTTCTTTTGGTCAGATGCCTCTTACACAATTAATAACATAAAGTTTTTGAAAAGTAATTCTTAGAACAGATTGCAAAAAAGGCATTTCTAAATGGTGACTCGAGATTTTGTTGCTTAATATAGCCATTAGAAAAGGTAACATCACTTGCAAAGAGTTGTAATTATTAAAAAATGGTAGTCGAAATAGATGATTATCGAGATATCAAAAAATGGTAATCATAATTTTGGACGGTCTCGATAAAGGGTTTTCTGGATTCTGGTGTATTATATATAGAAAAATATCATCAACAAGTTTTGTTGTATGAGGAAATAGATTCATTATGAATGGTTTTATTTGGATCTTAAGGTTGTGTTTAAGCTACTCGGGATCTGCACATGTTGATTGCTTTATGATACCAAGTCTGTCTTGTTTGTTCTGCAAGGTCTTGTTGGATGATTGCAGCAGAAGATCAAAAAATATGTTCTTTTTTGCAGTCCAGTAATAAACTGTGTTATGAGAACTTTTGTGAAGCTCACCAAATATTTTTGGAAACAAACTGGAGGATCCCTTGTTATCCAATAGTTCTCATGCAGTCTTGATATAAATGAACCAGACAGCTAAGATTTGAAATTAAACCTACAACAATTTCCCTGGTAAGTCCATCTACTTTTGTTTCTACTAATATTCCTGGCTACATCTAGAAGCAATTGATTGTTCATTGAAGGATGGGATCCAGTTTCTCAACAACCAACAAAACATTGCCTTGATATGATGGGATCTGTCATCTTCACTTGATCCTCAACCATCAACAGTTCTATGACAGTTCCTAATGATATCAACGATATCAGCTTCATTTCTATAACTTTTGCTCTCCATGAATTCAAGAACATCATAAGACCAGATAAGTTCACATTCGTGCACATTTTGTTGCCTTTCTCCTGTCAGGCCTGTTTTGGGTCCTGTAGTGCTTCTATGAAAAAGCCTTTGTAATTATATTTTTAAAGAGATGTTACCTAAAACAGTTTGTTAAGCACATCAAAAGATGACCATGTTCTTCTCTTTCATGTACATATCCTCTTGTCTGGATTCACATCTCTTGAAATGATCGATGCTCTATAAAATCAATTGCTTGCTCTGGATACTCATTAATGAGTTTATATACAACTACTGGATGCAGTGACAGAACTCACTCATTCTTTTGTCAGGAGACAAGGGTATGGATCATATTTCAAGGGAAAAATTTGGTTGTTCTGAAAATGAAAATTGCTCTATCAATGCACTTTCAATTCATGCAAAATTTATTTAAAAATGCCATGTCTTGTAAAAGACATGGTTGGTGCTCCTTCACAGGCTTTTGTGTAGAGTAAGATAATATTAAGAACTGCTTTATTTCATTAATGTGAACCTTATTTGTTTTCTTTTTGGCATCCGTCATTGATTATTTAACTGACACATGGTGATAACTTCCTCGAGTTTGCATAGAATTCCACTCTCTATCAGTGACAAAGCCGACAAGAATCAGATCTCTTGCAATAAGAGCATCTTTCATCTCTTAAATCCCAAACTTTCTGGTATCATATAGAACGAAAGAGCAACAGTCTTACAGGAACTGCACAGGCTTCATGTCCCTCTTTCATGGGGAAACCTTACAAATGAATAGATGAGTACCTGCATCTCTGCTTCAATGAAAGATTTTTGAAGTTCATCACAGAGTGTTGCCAGCTTTAGAAGGATATTATTGTGCCCTGTTACAGATTCAGCCAATGATCCAAGAGCAGTATTTGGCATTTTCTGCAAATTCTTGTTCATTTCGATTAGCTGCTTGAAACGTCCCAAGCAAGAGCAAACAGTTATTCTTTTGAGGAACTCACTTTATCTACCATGTCCTTATAAATCTTATTTTAACTTGTCAAACCTTTATCAAGAAAACTCAGCTCCGCGTCAAGTTCTACCTACAGTTGTCCAAGATCAGAGGTAAAGACATTTCTTCTGGCTCCAATTCAAGGTTGACAGCAAAAATCTGTTGCTTTGTGCAATATAGGGTAGAGAGTACATGAAGACCATATTAAAGAGGTCAACTGGATTGAAACGCAGTGTCAATAGCATTGACAGGTTTTTCTTGCTGTATTTGAGAGGCATTCAAGTTCTTTTATTTGTTACTCCTGCAGGGTGTTACTCAAACTAGGAAAAAGGTTTTCAGATACGGAAGTGGAGGAGACTGCTGATTGGAGCCTGGCTAAATTATCAGCCTCTACAAACGTTTTAGGCTGGTTCAAAATGACATGACTTTTAATTTCGTTTTTTAGAACATAGATAAATAAGTTCATCATCTCCATGTCCGAAAAAGAAAGACGTTGGCATTTTCTTATTATATCCTCTGTGTAGACTGATAAAGGCTCGTTTATTCCTTGCCAAAGTACAAATTTTGGGCTCCAACATTTGACGAACTGTAAAATTTTGAAAGTCTATTGAATTCTCCCAGCCACTTGTTTACATCTTCGTTTGGGAGGCCATTAAATGGGGGTTGTTCAAACAAACTTTGATGCAACACAACAAACAAAGTTCACTCTTTGCAAGCATAATAAACTGAATTTACTCGTTGTAAGGCAAGTATAAAAAGTTCACTCTCAATTCTCTCTACTTGAAGAAAAACGGCTTTGATCTTTGATAAAACGTGAATACTGATCATTAAACGACTAAAAATAATTTCTAACCTGCTAAGATGTCTTGAATACTGAAAAAGTTATTGCATTTAAAAAGTTTTCTCGTTCAATTGTCTTCCTCGCACAGGGTAACCAAATGTTTAATCACTAGTTTGAACTAACATAAAGGCATGAATTCTAAATAATAAGTAGAATTAACTTCTGACCTTGAGCAGAAAAATAAAGACACATCTCGTCTAAAACAGCAAATGATTTTGACAACAACTTCATTCGTCTACAGTTTTCGCCGAGTGTCTCTTAAAACTATGCTACTCGATATATATATGAATAACTAAGGGCAAAGGTTAAAATTAGGGAAATAATATATCTTTACTAAATATGGTTAATAGAAATGTATTTCATGTTCCTGGCCAATCGGGGAAGCGATAGAAAAATGGCTGACACAATGTACATGCACCTGACACAAAGTACAATGTCTGATGCAATGCTGGTATGTAACTGTCACGTGACATGCAACAAAATCGATAATTGAACAAAAACAACAGCAACAGCCTATAAGCGACTGTTTAAACGATCTGTCTATTTATACAACTCCATAGATGGAAGAAATCACAGTTTCAAACAGATTCAGGTTCAGGTTTCTGCCTAAATGGTGAGGCGATTGTATCATTTTTGCTGTCTATGGAGTGGACTTGTAGGATCATTTTTCTTTTGAATTCAGCAAACGATTGTATTGTTGTGTATATCTTCACATTTGTGGGCGTGACTACCAAGTTTAAGCCTTTGTTTTTCTGAAGTGAGTTAAGTTTCAAATCATTCCAATTGACAGTATTGTTTGTTATATTACACATTGTAAAGTTTTTGTATCTCGCTACAGAGATATTAGTCTGCTATTATTCTGGTGTTTTCGCTTTTTCAGTATGTTTCCCTTTTTGGCCAAAAATCTTTCTAAGGCGTGTCTTAAGTGTGTTGATTTGTAAATTCAAGTGCACCCTCGGATCCTGTATGGAGCAAGGACAAAAAAAAGGTAAATGAGGTCTGATTGTATAAAACCTCTCCTGTTTGCTTGTATTGCCCACCTATAGAAGTATTTTCAGCAATGTGTTGAACGGGTCAAGCAGGAAAAAATACATAAGCTTTGCTGGTGATTCAACAGAATGCTCCAGTTATTGCCCTGTCTGTTGTCAAATCGTCGAAGATGCCATCCCATTGGAAAGAGCTCCTGGATAAAATGGAAAAAAATTGTCTACAGTCTTTCGAAAGAGCACAGCACAAACTTCATCTTGCTCAAGAAAAATCACAATCGCT